ACTGGAGTACTCCTCAGACCTGCTGCCCCTCCCTCTCCCTGTCCTCCTCTGCTCTGATGGGATGCTGTGCTCTGTGGAAGTGAGTCCTCATCTCTGACCTTTGAGTTTGATCATGGTGTGATGTTGGTGTGATGTTGGTGTGACCTTGGTGTGACGTTGGTGTGATGTCGGTGTGATGTCAGTGTGATGTTGGTTTGATGTCAGTGTGATGTTGGTTTGATGTCAGTGTGATGTCGGTGTGACGTTGGTGTGATGTCAGTGTAATGTTTCTGTGATGTTGGTGTGATGTTTGTGTGATGTCTGTGTGACGTTGGTGAGATGTCAGTGTGATGTCAGTGTGATGTTTCTGTGACGTTGGTGGGATGTCAGTGTGACGTTGGTGTGGCGTTGGTGTGATGTTTCTGTGGCGTTGGTGTGACGTTGGTGAGATGTTTCTGTGACGTTGGTGAGATGTTTCTGTGGCGTTGGTGTGACGTTGGTGAGATGTTTCTGTGACGTTGGTGAGATGTTTCTGTGACGTTGGTGTGACGTTGGTGAGATGTTTCTGTGACGTTGATGTGACATTGGAGTGATGTTTCTGTGTCGTTGGTGTGTCGTTGGTGTGATGTTTCTGTGTCGTTGGTGTGTCGTTGGTGTGGCGTTGGTGTGATGTTTCTGTGTCGTTGGTGTGACGTTGGTGTGATGTTTCTGTGACGTTGGTGTAACGTTGGTGTGATGTTTCTGCGATGTTGGTGTGATGTTTCTCTGACGTTGGTGTGATGTTTCTGTGACGTTGGTGTGATGTTTCTCTGATGTTGGTGAGATGTTTCTGTGATGTTGGTGTGACTGAGCAGAGAAGCTGCTGGTGGTCAATGCACAGAGGAATCAGAGCAGAATGAGTTCAGACACCAGTGGGACAAACACAGTGACACTGAAAGAGCACACAGATTCTGCCAATGTCAACATTATCAGTAAACTGTCAGTATTTATTTTACTGCTTACTTAAAGTTGTGCTGTACAAGGGTTGTAACAAAATGGTGACAGATGTAGACCAAAGACTGTAGACAGTAATAGAAGTGACAGGAAGTATTTACCTTAGAAAATGTACTTTAGATTATGTACCTCAGAAAGGTCTGTTGTTAGTTGTTGAGATGTCAGAGTTCATGATATGTAAACTTACATTTGAATCCGTCAGAAGCTCATTAAAAGCTAAAATACTGAAAGAGCACGAGACATGTGTGTGCTGATCAGTGATCAGATTGTGAGCCAGGGTTTGAGAGTGCAGGAGCAGAGCTGGTTAAAATAAAGTACAGACCAATGTTGTTCAACAATTCATCATAAACAACTCTGCAGTGTTGATTTTTAATTTGAGCATCTGACACTTTAAATTAACAGAGTATAAAGAAAATCACTGTTAACTTTGCTCAATGTAAACCAAACAAAATAAATTCAAAAAATGAATAAGCATTTTAGGGCATGTTAGTCATTAGTTGTGTCAAACCGAAACTTAAGTACAATTTTAGCCAATTTCAGCAGTAGCCAATTAATAATAAATAGTAAACAAACTGAAAACAATGAAACTCTACAGTTACTCTGCTTGTAGCTCCAGAGGTGATGTTGGACCTACAAGCTAGAGGACACAATATGAAACACCCATCAAGTGTTGCGTCTAGGTGGCGGCCTTCCATCTGAGCAGATAGTTACAGTAATAACAAAAGGCCGTTAATGAGTGAAGTCTAATGCTTAGAATAATGAAAATGTATCACTGCATATCAGCACACCTGTCATCCTCAGGTTGTCTTGTATCATGCCACCACAAGGCTCTCCCAAACCACAGCTAGCGAGCACAGAGCTAGTGCTAAAGCTAACTCACTGAATCATGCTCTTTTATTTCAGGTTTAACGGTTTCGTCACTAATAAGCTTCCGTAGGTTCTGGTAAACATTGCTCAGCCGTGACAGAGATCGATCTCAGACTTCAAATGCTTTCATGTAAATCATCACCACACTCAGAACAATGACAGCAGATATAACTCATCACCACTGTTTGGTCCTTCACTAAGAACAAAGGGACAAACAGTGATATGGAGTTGACACACACCTGCACAGAGGGAAATATCCTCATTATGAAGATTTAAAATCTTCGAGTCAGTATAAATGATGTTAACGGTCACTGGTGTCATGAGTAGATTATTTCACTTGGGGGCCTGAAATGACAGAAAATCATTTAAAACTTAAAAAATAAAAAAAAACAAAACCAGCAGTTAATGCATAAGCTCATTCAGGCTCAAATCTGAAGCAAGTTCCATAAAACAAAAAAACCCTTTTAAAAATGTCTGTTCCATAAATAAATCACATAAACAAGACACAAATTAATTTAAATAAATAAATAGATAAATAAATAAATATACTTATGTACAATGAAGAGATGCAGAACAACCTTCAAACAGAAACGCAGACCAACTAAAAACATGCATGGTCTGCCGTGTCTGTACAGTTCACTCAGTCCGCTTCAGTCACAGGCAGCCAGCCACATTTCATGCACTGCTGCCGATGCGTTTGGCACAAACCTAATACCGGCTGACACTGATCCAGTCCTCTCAGTCTGCGGTCAGCGACGTCCTGAGGACACACGAGAGGTGAAAGCAGCACCGTGGCTCACTGCCGGGCTCGTCCACTTCCTCTGAACGTCAGATGATGGTGGGGAGAAACACGACGACTGACTTGTCCTTTTAACACCAATAACTTCTGCTTTTTCCCTCTAACACTGAGTCAGAGTCGAGACATGTTGAAGTTTAGCCTAGCTTAGCTCGGTTTTAGGTGTGTGTGTGGGAACCTGGAACCTGTGGCATCTCTTCCAAATAAGCTGTTGGTTTGTTTACAACCTAATAACTTAGTGGTTACTAACAAGAAGACCCAGGTAGAAATAAACACACCTGGTAACTTCCTCCTCACAACAGGCTCCATCTATTGAAACGCTCATTTAGATTTAGAGATGGTATATGGTATGTGTGTATGTATATGCTCCTATTAGTGCACTAGGTTTACATACACTGGGGCTGGGTATCGTTCAAATATTTCCGGTATCAGTACTGATGCTGAGACCTTGACTTCAATTTTTAATAATACTTCTTTCAATACGAATTTGATCAAATAATATGACATCACACATCACAGTACAAGTTTTAGCTTTACTTTAGTTTTATTTTGAAGCTCAGTCTCTTTACTCACTCAGACTGTTCACGTAAATAAACAGCCAAATCACCAGCATTATTAGATCCTGGCCCAAGCATGCTGCATGCTGATTGGCTCACTGAGGCTGATGAGATTTACTCATTTACTCCTGAGGTATCGCATGACATGACATTTTTCAGTCCTCGATACTCAGCTCTACAAACACGACCTCTAATATTTCAAACTGCTGTTCATCAGTACTTTAGAGCTTATTTTTGGATGTTTTGCGCAAAACATAATTGCAAATGGTTTTCATTGAGTGATGTTATATGAATAAAGCTGGCTTTGCTCCTCTCGTGATATCAGTCCAATTAAACATGACGACAGATTTCCAGCAGTCTGCCTCTCAGTCGGGACTGGCTTCATGAATGGGAAAAAATTGTTTCCATTTCAATATTTCTTTGTCTAATAGTCTGAAAAACCACCTCATGTGAGTGTATACATTGTTTGGAGTCACGTGTTTCCATTACTCCTTTTTAAGTTCACACTTTCAAATTGTACATTACTAAACCAATAAACCAACCATCAACAAAGGAAATGTTACCAGGTTGAAAAGCAGCTTCTTTAGTTTGATATAAACTCTGTGATGTTATGATGCTGTTGGGCTCAGTCAGGACTGTAAGGAGTCATGTGATCCCACTGTTATCATTTCACTGAGGTAAACTAGGCTCATCCTTCAACATGATTTTAAAAGTTTCTCTGACTCTGTGTTTGTAGGAAAAACTCCCATAATCCTTAGCTCCTGTTCCTCTCTAACCCTGGCCTGTAGTGGACACTGTGAGAACTGCTCTAATATTAAATACTGAAATCCTCTGGCATCCTCTGTTTACCTTTCAGGTAAACTGGACTTGGCCTAGAGAAGGGGGGGGGGGGGGGGGGGGTTCACACACAAGCAGCTTCAGAACCACAGCAGCTCAGATTCAAACACTAAACGTCACCGGTTTCTATCAGCGTTTAAAGTGAATAATATCTCATCTGCTGCTAACTGAGGTTATTTATCAGACTGAGTTTAGTTCAGAAACATCATGGCTGTCAGTAAAGAACCACATTCACCTGTTCTCTGCCTATGATTCAGTTCTGAGAGAGCAGCAGAGGCTCTGCTCTCTGTGTGACCGGCTGCTCCTTCAGCGACACCTTCCCCATTAACAACACAACATTCACAGTTTACCACAGCTTCTCCTTCAGGTCTGTAAATTAACTAACACATGTACAAAAAAATAAAAGAAGGGAGGGAAAAAGAGAAACAAATGAGCCAATCAAGCGTGCAACTCCAACACAAAAAAAAACAATGTAAACAGTTGTTTGTTTGTTTTTTTTTTTTTTAAGTTTTGTTGATTTCTGATAAGACACAGAAATGGAAAAAGGTGGTGGTGTCCCAAAAAGACGGGAACCTGCGAGTCCATGACGCACACTTCACACACAGAGGGAGGGAGAGAGAGAGTTCCTGAACTGCACCTTTAGTTCCTGTTTGTCCAGCTGACGTACGGTGTCTCTCTCCGATCAAGAGAAAACTGAACCCTGACACCAACAGCAGTTATATTACACCGAGTGATGGGGGATAGAAATGTCCGAACTCATGGTCTTGAGTACTTACATTTGTTTCACTTACCATATACAGTATGTGTGTGAGTGTGTTTACAGTGTATGAGCGCATGTGTGTGAGTTCCACCATATCAGCTCAAACACAGAGGTCTTTATTTCCGTTTTCTCAATCTCTCTG